TTAAAATGCGACAGAGGTAGAGCGAGCGAGAGAGAGAAAGAGAGAGAGGGAGGGCGAGGTAGGTAAAGAGAGAAAAATGTTCACAGATTTAATATAATTATAATGAACGTAATTATGCAAGAAAAAAGGAAATAAGAAAAGGGCAACGCAGGTAAAATACACACACACACACACACAGCCTACAAAAATCAATATAACAAGTCAAGGCACACACACACATACACACGCACACAGACAGACGCAGAGGCCTTTTGGTGTCTTGCGGGGCAGCTGTCTTCCTTTTTGGCTGGCGTCGTTAATAAATTTTCCATAGCATTTTAGTTGGCTCTTTTCTACAATTTTTATGGCCACAATAAAATGCAAGTTACCGGCTACTTTCAGGCCTGGCGACAGCCAACTTGTTTCCCACTCCCCCAACCAGCCGATGCGGGGTGGCCGGGCCGGGGCCCGCATCGGGGTCGGGTTCAGGTGTTGGGTGTCGGCTGTCGGGTTCACGGCGAGTAAGGGTTGAACCGTAAGTGTATTGCGCACGCGATGCAGTCGCTAGAGATGGCAGCCAAGCAGAGCTTGCCTCCGTTTAGGGGGCAAGTACTTAAGATCCATTAACTAACCGAAGTATGCCGAAGCTATAACTCTACATGCTATATGCGATATCTATAGCTATATACTTTATGGCTCTAATGGATAGTTAGCTGGGTATTGAATATTGCTGAAAGTTGGGCTTAAGACAAACAACAAGTCACTAAATGGTGTTTAAGGGCTGTTAACAGTTTCTTTGTTTGATTGTAGACAGTAGATTTCTAGAGCTAAGAACAAGAAAAACAGATAAAAAAAACTATATATGTGTGTATGTATGTATATATGTTTAACTATGCTTTATATATATACAATATATAAAAAATTTATTTAATTTAATTATTTAAATATAAATTACAAATTACTCGCAAATATTTGAGAGATAAATATATTACAATTTGGCTTTAATTATATTCGCAATAGCTGATAAAACCAACAACAGGTGCTCCTCGGTAACAATTTTGATACACATAAAGACCCAAAAATTTAATTCGTTCATTCCACGACGATATAAAAAGATCCGATATATAGAAATATAAATAAGCCTATATATTGACCATGCCCACTAAAATGAAATAGCTCGAGAAGTACTAGAAAGTACCGAGCGAAGGCCTCTAACAGCGTTTCCTGGTCCTGGACCTTCAGGATAGACAACAGAATATATTTACATTTTGATTGAGATGAACGGAGCGTAAGCCTTTCTGTTTTTTTTTTATATATATATATTTTTTTATGTATTTCCTTATTTTAAGGTAAATAAATATTAAATGAAATACAATAAATAAACCTTTTTTAATTTTTTTTTTTTTTTTTTTTTTAGTTGAATATATAGATCAAATTTGTGAAAGAAATATATTATTACAAATTTGTTTAAATTACTTAAGGTTAAATATTTTAATAAAAATATGAAGAAAAAAATAAATTTAAAATTAATTTATTAAATTAAAACCATTTTTCTAAAATTTATATTTAAAAAACCTATAAAAAAAAAAAAAAACAAAAAACAAACAGGCGTACTATTTGTTTGTTTAAGTAAAGTGAATATATGTATGTTATGGATAGCTTAGCTATGGTGCGACATCGCGACTGAGGACTGCTGTTGCTTTTGTTGTTGTTGTTGCTGTTGCTGCTGTTGTTGCTGTTGCACCAGTCCGAGTGCCGTTTTATTTGTGTGTTTTTTGGGGTCGCTTTTGTATTTATTACATTTCAATATTTGGCATGTTGTTCGTTGTTCGTGTCACAAACTTTTGAAATTAGGCAGCCCACAGGGGAAGAGAGAGGGAGTGAGATAGAGAGAAGGGGCGACTGGGAGAGAGCAGGAAGCAACTAAGTGAAAAGCCGGGCTAACGGCATTTTCTTGGCTTGCATAGCCGGCGCCGCTAAGTATGCAACGCCGTTTCGTGTTAAGTCATAATTAAATGAAATTCAACTGTGTTTTTGGCTCCATGTACGAGAGCGAGACAGATATATGCAGCTGTGTAGCTGTTTTAGTTCTGCGTGCCGTTGCTGCATTTGTAAGAATTTTTTTTTCTGACTGCCCTTCAGTAAAGCTATTGACTCCCAACCTAAAGAGGGGAGTGTCAAGAACAGCAACTGAGCTGAAAGAAAGAGAGAAAAGGGAAAGAGACAGCAACAGCAATGACAGAAACAATATCAATGAGCGTAACTATGTAACTATGCATGACGGGCATCCAATAAATGTTAAAAGTCAAATTATAGTAGCATTGATTGGATTAGTAGGGGCGTGGTTCCACATTTGTGCACCGGCTCACATCATGACAGTTCCGTCAGGTCTCCCTTGGTTAAACAGTTTATTTTCCATTACAGAAAGTTGATTTGAGTTGCTGTGCAGTCAGACAATAAATACAGAAAATCAATTGAATAGAAGGTCTTTAATATTATTTACAGTTTATACTTATAGAATATATGTATGTCTATAGCTTAGTATTTTAGCAATGAGAATTATAGATCAAGCAGGTTGACTTATTATTCAAATTTGTATTCCTTGATGTATATATTCTTACATCTTTGACTTTTTAATATATTGATCTCTCTTTCTCTCTTCATCTTCAATCTCTTTTTTTTTTTTTGCAATTTTTTTTCATCTTCTCTCAATGTGCTATTTTTCTTTTCCTTTCCATGTGTCTTCTATTCCTCTTTTATTGTCTATCTTTACCGCTTTCTTTTAATCCCTTTCCGTCTTATTTGTCTTCTGCTCAATTCTTCCCTTAATCCTAAGTCTCCTCCTTTTTTTCTCCCTCTTTCTACCTTCTTTTATCGCTCCTCTTAGCCATCACTTTCTCTCTTTCTATTTCTCTCTGTCTCTCTCTCTCTCTCTTTCTATATTATTATCAGTTTTTTCTGTCATTCTCTGTCCGCTTCTCCTTGTCTGTTGCAGAGAGAGAGAGATCTCTGTCTCTCTCTTTGTTTGTGTCAGCTATTCTCTGTTATTCTCTGTCTCTCTCATTCTTTCACTATCTCTCTCTCTCTCCTTCTCTTCCATAGTCTATTTCTTTCCAATTTTCTCCATTTCCTTATTTCTCTCCTTTTTTGCCTGTTTTCCTACCTCTACGTCTTCTTGATTCCCCCTCTCTCACTCTCACTCTACTCCTCTCTCTCTTTCTCTCTCTCGCTCTCTCTCTTTCTCTCCAACTTTCCCTCTCTCTCTGTCTGTGCAACTTGTTTTCGACGCTCGGTCTGCCACAGCCGGCAACTGTCGTGGCTCAACGTGATTATTATCGTAATCATTGTGTGGCTTCTGTGTTCGTGTGTGTGTGTGCGTGTGTGTGGTACGTGATAATGAGGTTGTTTATCGTGGGCCGTGGCTGAGGAACAGCTGTTCGTCGTCGCCTGCTCGTCGCTCCGGCAGAGCTCTGCAGTCGCTACGAGCAGCTGTTGTTGTTGTTGCCGCTGCTGGCACTCGATTGGGGCGCCTGCGCCACTGGAAGCGGCTAAAGGTTTGTCACATGTTTTTGGCCACCTAGAAAACATCGCATGTTGCTTCCAATGTGCCACAAAAGGCAAAAGGCAAAAGCAGCAGCAACAACTGCCGCGAATTGGAAATGTAAGCGACATTGCAGTCGTGCGGCCGAGCAGCGAGCAGCGAGCAGAGCAAAGCAGAGACAGTTAGCCAGCCAGCCAGCTAGTCAGCCAGCCAGTTCGTCTGTCAGTCAGTCAGCCAGTCAGTTTGTCAGAGTCGAGAGTAAGAAATTTGTGCAACTGCCAAAAAGTTTAAATGTTCAATTGTTTAAAACATTTGCCAAGTGCTCCGCGTGCTCGCCCCACAAACTTGTGGCAATCAATCAATTAGCCCCAGACCCAGCAGCTGCCTAGGGGGCAGCCAAGCAATCCAAAAGCCAAGCCAATCTATCCCAATCTGCTCCAGACGACGCAGCAGCAGCAGCAGCAAGTAAAATAATAATAACAACAACTACAACTACAACAGCAACAACAACACCAACAGCAATAACAAAAAATTAGTATAAAAAAATCAATATCCGTCTAAAGTTTATTTCGGCTTAGCTCAAATGGAACTAGAAGTTTAACAACAGCAACTGGAACAACAGCAACAACAACAACAACAACAAGAACAACAACCACAACAACAGTAGCAACAGAAATAATTACGCTGAGAGCAACGATTAGTTAACTCAATTGATCCGCGCCTAAAAGTCCACAGAAAATCGCAAAACAAAATTGAATTCTGATTAAAAGTTACTAACAAATATCGATAAATCATAGCCCCAATTATTCATATAACTGTTTTTCAAATTTAAGCAACTTGCATTAAATTAAAAAAAAAAAAAAACTGGCCAAACTATATCCCATTTAAATACTACAATTAATTTATATCAGCGCTTTTTGCTAAACTGCATTCGCTTACGCAATATATTAAAAAAAAAAAAATAAATAAATAAAGAAAAAATAAAATAACAATAAAAAAAATAAATTTACAGCTAAAAACAAAAAGTAAAAAGTAAAAAATACGCCTATTAAGTTTGTCGAATTAAAGAAAAATATATAAGTCCATTTTGTGCTAGGCTTAAAAGCAAAAAAAAAAAAAAAAAAAAGTGTACACGCCAAAATAATTTTGAGAGAAGCTTTAACAATAAACAAATAAATATATTACAAATTTAAATTAGTATGCAAATTAATTATTATTAAAATTAATCATTATAAATGCTGAACTGAACAAATAAATTAAAGTTGCTCCATCCATAGTGCAAAGTGAAGTTAAATAAATAATTATATAATATAAAAAAATTTTTTTTGATTAAAAAAAATCACATTTCAAAGGTTAGTAAAAAACGAGTAATAAATTTAATATTTATAAATATACAAAGTTAATATAAATTAAAATTTTAATAAAATTTTAAATAAAAATATTTATTATTTTATTTTTGTTGTTAAGCTGTATCGTTTCATTTTTTTTTGTTTTTCTATAAATTCTTCAAAATATTGATTGATTATTATAAATAGAATAAATAGATTTCACAGATCATAGATCAATATTGAAGTCTGTCAAATAGAAAGTTAGTTGAACTGTGGGAAGAGAGAGACAGAGACAGACAGAGAGAGATTGATATTTATGATGCATTTTGCATATTTGCTATTTGCTATTTGCATTCCAAGACAAATCGCTCTTGACAGCGGCAAGCTGTTGGACACGTTCAATTCAAAACTCAACGGTTGATTGGGCGCACAGCTGAGCGAGGAACACACACATGCACACGCACACACAGCTAGACCGAGTCAGAGCCTACAGCAGAGAGCAGAGAGCGCGGCCCAGCTGTTTGTGTGCGAAGAGAGCGCGTCGCCTGCTGAGTAAGAACAGCCGGCAAGCGCCAAAGCAACGGTAAAATCAATATTTACTTTGCTGGCAGCTGTTTGCAGCTGTATTGGTATGTATGGGTGTGTGTGTGTGTGTGCTGCTGAATCAGATGGCTCGCCTTCCAGTCATTTTCACAGTCACAGTTTTAATGCTGCGTCGTATCGACTTGATTTGAGTTTAGTCATTGAAATTAATCATTAGTTCTATTTGGATAGTTTGCTACTCTATAATGTAGACTGATCCTTGGTCTAGCCCAGTGCCTGGACTGCCATTCAACTTTGGCATTTGCTGCGACTGGAAGTTGCGTAATTTCATTAGCGTTGCCCAATCGAATATCATGCACATCGACTTCCAGTCGGTCGGCGTTTAGCGGCATTTTTCTTCCACGTATATTTTTTTTGTTTTTGTTTTTGTTTTTCTTGTTTTTTTGTTTTTGTTTTTGGCTCTGACACGAGGACGCGGCGTCGTTAACGAGATATCGTCGTCGACTGCTGCTGCTGCTATGTATATCCGCCGTACTGTCCGGCAATTCGTGGTCAGCGTCTCAGTTGTTATCCGAGTGTCTTGTGCATTATATGAGTAACAATTCATAGTCCGTCGCACTTCTAAAACAAAGCACGTAAATATATACATACATATATAAACTGCGTGAATCTCTAAATAGAATAATATATGTTAATTATATACAATCTTTATAATAGCATAGATATATGCATAATTTATATATATGTATATTAGAGTAATAAAAATATGTGTGCTTGGCGCTTTTTAAAAATATTTTGTGATTTTTTTTTAAGTTTCAAATAAAAAAAAAAAAATATTGTGTTGACATGGAGAATTTTTATATGAATATAGAAAATATATATAGATATATACAAATATACAAATAAATATTGTTTTAATTGATTATTAGCCGTCGATAAGATAACAAAATGTCTGTGTTATTAATCAGTAATATATTTTGATGAGCTTTTTATGGTCTAATGGTCCAACAGTCTATCTTAAGCTAGTTTTAACTGTTTGGGTTTGAAGACCAAAGCACATAAAATCAGCATACATATCGTACGACTTACGATATATACGATATACAATATACGGTACACGATATACGATAAAGAGACTATACGAGATACGATATACAATGTAGAATATACGAGATACACTATGTGACATACGATATACGATATATGATATTCCCATACCTCTCCCTATCGTCTATTTAAGCTCAATGATCACAAATGCTGTAAAAGCTAAAGATTTAATACGTCGACTTTTTTCATAGATTTTACTATAGTATCCATCATTGAATCTTACTATAATATCTTGATTGGTAGTCAAAAAAAAATTCTCAATTCAAAAATTTTTTATTTTAACTAAAATTTTTGTTTTATTTGCTAAATCGCATCATGTTGAGTCTGATGGAAGAAAACTCCAAAACTTTAACTAGATTTAAAGTAGGCAATAGAGTTGCTCGTATACGCTATTTGCATGGGTTAAAGTGCGAGAAGGGAAGCGAGAGCAGAGAGCAGGGTGGAGGCAGTTGGTCTGTAGGGGGAATCTTGCCTACTCTATTCAGCGAGGAGTCGAGTACTTAATGCGCCAACTCCAAAATGCCAAGGCGGCATATCGACAAAATCGACGACGGCGGCGCCGACGAGAATGACTGGCAAAATGTTAGCCGGCGCGGAACGGTTGGGCGGGCGGGCCATGGCGCCAGTAACGAGACGAGAGCAAACGAAACAGAACGAAATGAAACGACTGGGAAACGACTGGGAAACGAGCCAGATACGAATCGAAACGAATTGGAAGCGACGAGTGAGGCTCGTTTAGCCGGCAGCACGAATCGCAAGGACGAGGACGAGCCCTCCTCGGCCCAGCTGAGCTGACAACAACAACAGCAACAACAACAGCAACAGCAACAACGACAGCGGCAGTGGCAGCAGCAGCAACGGCAGCAACAGCGACAAACAACAGTTATAAAAGCTTTGGCAGCGCCGCACGCAGACGCAGGCTGGAATAGTTCCAATAACGGCAAATAAGCCACAGTCACAGCAACAGCAACAACAACAACAAACGCTGAAGTTGCCGTGCAGCCCCAAAATCGGCGACGAGCAGACGCCGCTGCTTCGCGTCGCAGCCGCAGCCGCAGCCGCAGTCGCAGTCACCGCTTGTTTCGCTGCCCAAACGCCGACGCCGCTTCGTTGTGCGAGTTGTTCCGGCCAAAGAATCAGTCGTCGTCGAGCTTTCAAAACGTTTGCAGCAAACGAAACAAAAAAAAAAGAAAAAAAGAAAAGAAGTATACAAACGTACACAAATTGTAGCAGCAGCTAAAGAAGAAGTCGCAATAACAGCAATAGCAACCAGCAGCAGCAACAGCAGCAGCCGCAGCAGCAGCAGCAGCAATAGCAGCTACAAAGTAATTTCAGTTCGAATTCGCAGAAGTTTAACAAAAAACTTCAATATTTTTTTAAGAATTTTTTTTCGACCTGCAATTGATTACTGAAATTAAAGTGACAAATTTTTGTTTAGTGTATGCATGTGTGAGTAAGTGTGTAAGTGTGTGTGTGTGTGTGCGTGCCTCAAGTTGCTTTTGGTGCAACTTCGCAGTTGCGGCCTGGTTGGAGGTTTTCTTGTGGCTTCCTTGCGGTGATATCATATAACAAATTGCCACAGTTCTCTGTGGCTAGCAACTACAACACGTGCTGGCTGCTTTCTCAGTGTGTGTGTGTGTGTGTGTGCGTGAGAGAGTGTGTATGGCTGTGTATGTGTGTGTGTGTGTGACCTATTGATTCTACAACTTCCTTTGCAGTTGTGTAGCTCAGTGCAGTTCCGTTTTATAGCGGCTTCGGTTGCAACTTCTTTTCAGTGCCCCAGTTGCATGAAAGTTCTTGAACGTTGCAAGTGACTAAACTGTTTTTTTTTTTTTGTGTATTTCTTTTTCTTTATTTTTTTTTTTTTTTGCTGTTCTCTTGTGATTGTTGCACTTATTTGGCTAATCATCGAGCCAATCAATTCTTGATTGAAAACTGAGCTGCAGCATTGCGTGACTCGATTGAAAGCCGAAAATATACATATATGAAAATTGATTTAATATGAGAGCGAAATATCGAGCTCAAGCTTGGCTTTAAGCTGTGAAACTGACAAATATCTGTACCGCATCATATCTGAAACTCTCTGTGCGATCAAGTCAAGTTTTGAGCTAAATTACTAAAATTGATCAAGTTTGCTTGAAAAAATTTTTTTAAATGGATTCAATATGAGTGCAGACAGTTAGCCAGACTTAGCTTTATGCTGTGGAACTTAGGGGCTACCAGCTGAAATATTATATAGTATCATATATTATGTAATATTTAAATTTATTTTGAGGATCAACTCAAGCTAGATAGCTACATAAAAAATGAATCATTGACCAAATCAAAAACTAAGCAGAAATGATTGAAAAGTATAATTAAAAAAAAATAATTATTTGTTGAATTTTTATTCCTTAACGCAAACTTATATCTCAATATTAGGATATACGAAAAAGAAGAAGAAGGAGAAATATAAATTGAAAGTAGATAATCAATGATCAATGCGTTTTGCTCTACTGAGTGTCTGCCATAGTCAGGCTTTACTGTATAACAGCATTAGCCTAAAGATCTTTTAAGCACAATCAAATTTTCTAGTAATTGTTAATTAAATCTAGTACAACATTTTATCAGTACAAGCTCAAGTTTAAAGCTCAGAGAGTGAGTGAGAGAAAGAGAAACTTACTTACATTCTTCACTTCCTTCACCTTTTCCTTCCTCTTCTAAAAGCAACAAAGTTACTCAGATTAAAGGTAAAATTGTAAAAAGACCCAAAAGAATTCCAAAGCTGGCAAACTAAAAATAAAAAAAAAAAGTTGCAAACTAAAACTTGTTGGAGATTCGCACTTTGGGACACTTTTCGTTTTTGTTAGAGAAAAGTTGAAATTAGCACGGCAAAGAGCGTCCATTCATGGCGTTAGATGTTTTGTTTCACTACAAGCCAGAGCTGCAAGCTATTCAAATTTCCTTAGAGTTCAAAGATAATATAATACAAAATAAAACTGCTTAATTTAAGCTAAAAGAATAATAAATTCATTTAAATCAAAGTAAATATATTTAGATATCTTCAAAGTGCTCTCATGTAAGGCAATATCATTTAATGTAGAATCTTGATTAGAAAACGAGAGAACAAAAATTGATAGAAATTTTCCATGGAAAGCGGAAAATGCTTCCTTAGTGCGAGCACGGCTGCACTTGACTTTAGCAACTGCAGATTTTGGTGGCAGATGCCGCTGAAATGTGACCAAAAATAGCAAAAACTCATTAATCAAATTCAAGGCGTGGCCAAGACCAAGAGCAAGACCCCTCAAAGAGCTATAGCCCTATGCGAAATGGGAAATGTGAAATGCTAAATGTAAAATACAAAATATGGCAATGCGTTTTCCCAGCACTCACAACTGACAACTTGGGCATATACCTCATAAGTGTGAATGTGTATGAGTATGTGTGTGTGTGTGTGTGTGTGAATGTGTGTGTGTGTGAATGTGTGTGTGTGTGTGTGGAGCTGTATGTGGGGAGATACAATAAATGTGGCTGCATTTGCCGGCGACTGGCTGGGTGAATCATCGGTCGACGCCGCCACCAACACGGCACGAAGCAATGCCAATGGAGACACTAGCAACACCAGCAACACCAGCAGCAGCAACAGAAACAACAACAGCAACAGCAACAAATTGAAAGGCAGCGTCAGCGGAGCGCAACGCCTGTGGCAGGGGAGAAGGCGCATTGGGCACGTAGACCAGGCACGCGACCAAGTCCAAGTCGCAAGGAGGCAACAACAACAGCAACAACAACAGCAGCAACAGCAACAACAACAGCAGCAGGATTCCAACAAAAGGAGTTGTTCAGCTAGTTGTTGTTGTTGTTGTTGCTGCTCTTGTTGTTTTGTTGCTGTCTTCTCTTTTTATTATGACTGTTGCTGTTGTTGTTGTTGCTGTCGCTGCTTTTTATAGTTTTCACATTCAGTCAGGCAACGCCAGCGCCTGATGACGTCGTTGTCGTTGCTGCTGTTGTTGTTGTTGTTGTTGTCGTTGTTGTCGTTACCATGGCACGATGACGACATCTTTTTGGGGGTATGTGCGAGCGTGTGTGTTGTTGATGTTGTTGTTGGTGTTGCATATGTGCAACAACACGGCCAAAGTTCAATGCATTTATATGCGGAGCCTGTCTATGGCTTTTTATAGCTCCTTGCCTGGTTAGCCGATGTCTGGGCCACAGATCGGCCCAGCAATATACATATATATATACATATATACATATGTATATATATATGCATGGATGTATATGCATGTCCAGCTCTCTGGGCTGTCATAAGTGCAACGGCTGTTGGCGAGTGCTGACAAAGCCAACAACAACAACAACAACAACAACAATGCAAGCACGTTGAAGAGCTACAAAAATGTTGTGCTGCTTAGCCACTCGAGTTGATTGCAATTAAATGAAAGTCATATTTGAGAATGACAGCAGAATGGCCAAGTTATAAACCAGCTGTAACTATTAAAAAAAGAGGAAGAATTTAGAATGTACATACTTCTGTTTTTGTGCACTATTTCGAATAGAACTTTCTATGCAGCAAGTGTTAAAGCAGGAGACGCATTTCTATTTGAGTGCATTATGAATGTGGACGAGCTCGCATGTTAGAGCACTCTTCACTCTCCAATCTCCAACCTCCACTCTCCACATAATGCACTACATTCTATCTCGCAAATTAGCGGAATATTATCACTTCGAAAGCGAAATCAGCGGCAATCGTTCGTGCTTTACTTCTGCTCTCAGAGAGAAGACGAAGTAACGAGCTGCAAATTCAACTAGAAGGAATAGATTTGCTTAGACATTCAAGCTAGTTCAGTATTCAGCAAAGAACTTCTTTTTTTTCGATCGTGTTGGGTTTTCAATGTCGTCCTATTATCATTTGTATATTTGATTTATGAATTTCGAGAATTTGTGTGATTTATGATATATTATATACATTAAACATTAAATATTATATAAAAAATTCCCCAAGAAAATGTTATAGGAATTGCTCTAAAAGTTCCTTTCATTTATTTGTATTTTATTTTTAAGCTAAATTTATTTAAAAAAAATGTAAAGTATGAAACTTTATATCTATATATAAATTTTATGTATAAAATATATATATATATTTTTTTTTATATTTCAATATAATTATATTAATTTATATAAGTATATAAAAGTTATTGATAATCTATTCTTAATTTTTGTTTTAATATTAATATATAAATTACAAATATTTCTGTTTGTTCATATTTTAAGTAACTTTCAATTTTTCATACTTCTTGCAGATTGAAAAATATATATTCAACAGCAAACGAAGAAAGCTAAATTAAGAAAAAAAAAGATTACCAAAGAGAAAAACAAACAAAAGAAAGACATTCAAAAAGTAAAAAAAAAGTATATATACGAATATCTAGACGCAACTCAAGCAAAAATAAATACAAGAAGAAAAAATAAAAACAAAAAACGAAAATTTGCATGTTAAAAACATTCACATACACACACACACACACTTACATAAACACATAAAAAGAAAAACACAAATGAACAATTATTAAATTAATTATTAAAAAAATACTAAAAGAGCATTGCTACAAGTAAAAGCTAGTCCAAATCTACAGTAAAAAAAGAAAAAATTATATTTAATTGAAGATAAAAAAAAAAAAAACCAAAAATAAAAAATCAACACGCCAATTGCCGCAAATTTACTCCAAACTAAAAAAAAAAAATAATTTACGAAAATTCCCAAAAAGTCAAAATAAAAACGAAATCTACGTAATTTAATTTAAAGAAAAAAAAAAATTAAACACAGCTTCAACGTGTGCACAATAAATAAAAAAGAAAAAACTAAACTAAATAACGTAAAATACAAATATTTAATTTCAAATATTAAAAAAAAAAAAATTACACACCCACACAAACTAAATTCCAATTAAGCAAAAATTTGCAGAGACAAGAGAGAGAAAAAAATATAAATAAATAATAACAAAACCAAAATCAAGTGAAGAACTCATTAAAAAAAGCGCCCAAGTCACGGCCAGCAAACAAAAAGTACAACAACAAACAAAACAACAACCAACAAGCAGCGTGTGAAGTGAAGCAGCAAACGCTGCCACGCCCTCGTTAGCCGCCCGCCCATTTGGCAAAGCAGTCAAGACTGAGCATCGGCCGTTTTACCGGACAGCAAAATTTCCAAGAAATTTGACGTGCCCGTAACGCCGCGCAAGACAGAGAGAGACAGAGACAGTTAAAAACACGCACGTATTCTGAGTGTGAGTGTGTGTGTGTGTTACAGAAAGAAAGAGAGCGACAGAAAGAGAGGGGGAGAGAGAGAGAGAGAGAGAGAGAGTGAGAGACAACAAGTACGGCAGAGTTTTAAAAACTCGGCAAGCGCTAAGCGATACGATTTTTTTTTCAAGTGTACGTCTAGGAATTTTTTTTGTGTGCCCGTGAGTCTGTGAGAGCAACAGCAACAACTGTGATGGGAGATCGGCCAAAAGCGACAGCAACAACAACTACAACTAATACTACAACAACAACAACTAACGCAGCAGCCGCCGCAATGGCAGCAACCGCTCCGGAAGACCCAGCCCAAGCCAACGGGACTGGCCAGGGCAGCGGCAACGGCAACGGCAATGGCAACGGCAATGGCAACGGCAATGGGAATGGCAATGGCAATGGCCATGGGAATGGCAACGGCACTGGAGGCAACGATCCGCCCCAGGAGCCCGGCCAGGCCCAGGTGTCGACGGTCAAGCTGCCAACGCCCAGCCATGTGGACGGGGATGCGGATGGCGGAGCAGCAGCTGGTCCCAGCGCTGCTGCTGGCGAGGCAGTCGACGATGCGGCCACTGATGCGGGCGCCAGCTCATTGCCGCCGTCGGAAATTGGCGGTCGTCCGCCGTTGGACACCGCCTGCTCGGATGGCGGTGGCGCCTCGAGTCTGGCCGGCGGCATCGTTGGGCCGCCCAGCCCGCTAACCGGCTGCTATTTGCTGATTGTGATGGGCGAGCCGCACTCCGAGGAGCACAAGGACAACATCTTGCAGCATTTGCTCAAGGGTAAGTGCCAACACCCCATTCGAAACTACATCGAAGCCATCGACTTGATGCTGATGATACTGCTCCACGTCGAGCTCATCAGCATAAATTATTCGCATTGCTCGCATAGAAAGTTTGCATATGCAAATGAGTCAGCCAGTCGAGTGGCTGGCGTTACGGCTGAGCAAATGGCGTCGCGTGCCAGTCCATTCCATTCCAATCCAAGCCAATTCAATCCAATCCAATTCAATCCAATCCATGTTCAAATACCAATTGCAATCCAATTCGAATCCAATGCCGGCCACTCCACCCACTGTGAGTTGCCCATTTTCACACTTTGCTGGCTGCCGACACGCCGTCTAATTAGCTGCCCACTGTGTCTGCCCCAGCCCCTGCACCCGCTCCCCTGCTCCCCTGCTCCATGCTACATGCCCCATGCCCCATGCCGCAGCGACGACTGCTCGGCTGGAGAAGCCACTGATCAGTTTTCATAGTCAATGGGCAGGCCGTGGCTTAGCTTTAGTTTTTACTTTGCGCCTTCTCTTTCTTCTTGCTGCTTTTTTTTCTCATTCTTACTTAGTTTTATTTATTATTCATTTTTCATTTACCGCTGATTCTAAGCCAGCCGTTTTCTTGCTCATTTTCACTTGCCGTCGACGACTGACACAGTTTTCCGCCTTGCACATAATTATCTTGAGTGCTGTCGATGCAAAGTGGGCGTGGCGGGGCGCTGGTGGGGCGTGCCACTGATTGCCACTCAAATGCGGTACAAGAAAATATTAAAAACATTTTTTTAATACACTTCGCACTCTACAGAACCGCCCGAGTGAATTCTAAGTTCAGATAATTTGCTTTTTGTTGTTGCTGAGATCTCTATTAAATATTAGATATGTTTTGCTATTTATAAGATTTAATGTTATATTATAGTATATAGAATTTTAGTAAGCAGAGGCTGAGTCACAAAAATAGACAATTTAAATTGCACTTGACTCTCCAAATGCAGCTAGAATAACTGATAAAGTAACTTTAGTTTTAATACCCTGAACTCATTGAAAATGTGAAATCGTGGTATATTGGTTTGGTTAATATTATTAAATGTATATATTAAGCAGAAGGAGGTGTGGTAGATCCCATAAAGTATATATATATTATTATAGATATTATTGATCCGACGACCTGAGTCTATTTAGCCCAATCCGTCTGTCTGTCCGTATTGAGCGATCCCAGTAGATATGACAGCTAGAGATATGAATTTTTGTTTGGTAAGTCAATACATTCCACGCGCAGATCGAGCTGGTTTCCAAAATTCGATAACTAATCCCGCTTTTTTGTTATTGATAAGCAAAGAATTATTGAAATGGAAGCAGTTTCGACTAAACCTTTCGTGCTTGTTTTTATAATATTTTGAAATATATTTAAAAATTATTTAAATCATAAATTAAGTTTGAATAATTTTAAAATATATAAAACTATTATTTTTAAATATTTTAAATTTAATTCAAATATTAGCTTTATCTATTGTCACTTTGTTTGAAGTAATACCTGAAGTCAGCTCATGTCAAAGGTGCCAAAATTGTTGGAAACAGCAGCTTAAAACAAATCTCTTCTAGTTGGGAAGTGCCGTACTAGAATACGCTACCTTGACACAGCTTGAAAGCTATCCAAGAAAATAAGTGTTTATTATCAAATTCAAATTCAATTGGGTTCAAAGAATCGAATAAACGAGCTTCAAATTGGACACGTAGCATAGAATAACTGGATCTCTAATTGGGTGCCTCTTAATAAAATATACCCATTGAAGGCATTTTCCTCATGCAAAAAATAAATATATCTCTAATATAAATTATAATTCTGTATAGCTATATACAAAATTTTATACAAAGTGTATTTTGTTTCTCAAATCGAAAATTAAGCTGAAAAGCTTAAAATAGAATCATCAAAAAGATTTTAATTGCCAGCTTCTGTTTCTGAGATGCTTCGCGTTCAGTTACAAAGGAGACTATAAAATAAGCTGCTATTTCTTCCATTTCCACCTCGTCTTCATCTACTTCTTCCTCTTCTGCCCTCTACAGCTCTTGGCAAATTGTTTGAAGTTTGAGTCACTAAATAGAATTAGCTGTTGCATCAGTTCAAGAGCTTGAATTAGAGGAGTTTAACTAACTCAAATTTGGGCTATTTATTTTAATAATAAAATATGATTATCTATATGTAAATGTAATGGATTTATCCGTGAACTCTCTGCAGTGCATTGCTCTCTAATCTCTAATCATATCAATTAGCTGATGCAATTGTATTAAAATGAAAATTAACACGTGATTAGTTCACAGCGAAACACTAAAATTGATGCTCATATTAAATACTACGACAATGACCTATCACGCCCATGTCAGGGGAGGGGGGGCGTGACTAGCATGTGGTTGGAGTGTTATACGAGCTGTGAATGGGAATTTCTGCGCTGCTGGGCGCAAGTTAATCGCATTGTCTCGCAGCACAATTGGCAGATAAGCAAGCTGGCAAGTGGGCGTGGCTGGCCGCCTCGTGTCGCGCCGCAGAACTCAATTTAAATGTCGCTGGTAATTCGATTTAAGTGAATTGCGCCTCGGAGTATGCAGCAGCAATCGTTGCAATTTAATTAAAAATTACAAGAAATATAAAAGGGAAATGAGCAAAAGCACACAGAGTGTGTGTGTGTGTGTGTGAGAGAGAGAGAGAGAGTGAGAAGAGCTGCAAATGCTTTTGTATTAATTATTTTCATGTAATGCAATCAACATTGCAATCACAACAAGAAAAGTGCAAAGATCAACAAATGCAGCCGGAAATGACTATGTGTGTGTGCGTGTGTGCCTATATGTGTGTGTGTGTGTATGTGTGCTTGTCGGGTTATTAGCAAATATTTGATTTATGCAGACAACCAGAGACTGTGACAAAGCCCAAAGCCCAACAGATGAGCGCAGACATTGACATTGGCTGTGTGCGGCAGCTGGGTCTGGGCGGTTGGGCTGGTTGGGTGACTTGTTTGGGCGTGGCACCGTGGCACCGTGGCACTGGCTGAGCCACAGGCAGCTACTGTGGCAAGTGGCATAATTGCTCAACAAGCGACGCCGTCTGATGCGCCCAAAAAGCGCCGGAAATTACGAAAGTTGAACGTCGACAACGAGAAATTAGTCGTTGGCTACTCTAAGTGGGTGGCGGTGGTTTAGCTGCTGGGTTAGCTGGGTGGGGTTGGGTGGCTCACTGGACACATCTCGGGACACCGTTTTGTCCATTTTTGTTTTGTGTGTTAGTTTTCGAAAAGAGGTGAACAAAAATTTTGTAATGTTTGTCCAGTGCAAATAGCGACAAGAGATGGGAGTGGGCGGGGCTGTGCAGGGTGGGCGTGGGGGTAGTGCCACTGCGCGTGGAGGCAGTTTTTTAATTGATTTTGTGACACGGTCGAACAGCGTTGCGTGGGGCACAGGTTGAGCAAACAGAAATGCAAATGTAATGGGGAAAAAGGCTAATGGGAAAAAACGGGCCTAAAGAGCGCCGCCACCAAGAATCAACGGTGGGTTGGATATGTGCATATATGTATACGTATAAAGATACATATACAGAACAAATAAATGCGAACGTTGGGCCCAAGCCATTTAGGTTATGTATTTTGCAGAAAAATAATGCTTTTTCGGTGCGTGCTGCGGTTTGGCTGGGCTCAGGATTTGCTTAATCAGATGAAAAGAATGAACAAAAGTTAAAGCCGATAATTGGATTAGGTTGATTGTTAGACTGAAATAATTATAACATACCTATGCAGATATAGGTTTTTATCCAAATACCTCTCTAACTTGAATGAAAGTATTGAAATAAGTATATTTCATATTATTAGTTTTCTTCTATATGTGATTAGATATTTACAGTAAGCAGGGCAGCTTTTGGACAATTAATTAATTAAATATTTAATTAATTTGACTCATTAAACAGAAATAAATTAAACTAAAAATTTAATTTGACCCATTAAACAGAAATAAATTTAACCGATTTTTTGAGTCTCTGTCTCAGAGAAAGACAGAGATCTTAAGAGTGCAAATCTCATAGCTAAAGTTGAAGAGAATATTTGATAGTTCCTGAGTCAAGACTCTGTTGAGTAACTTTTGAGGGTGCCTGCCTCTAATTCTATGACTCAATTAGAATATATAAATGTGGCATTGAAAGCATGTGAAGATATAGACAAGAATAGCCTACATTGTCTGAGCTCAATTCAATAAAATTATTAAGATAATGATTTTATGTCCAATTGACTTTTTGATTTTATTTTATTTTGACTTTATTATTATTATTTTTTTTTTTGTCTTTTAGTTTATTTTTTTTTTATTTTTATTTTTTTTATTTTTTACTATATTTTTATTTTATCTAATTTTATATTCTTATTTTATTCTATTTTATTTAATTTTTCTTTTATTTATATATTTTTAAATTTTAATTAGTTTTTTTTTTTTTCATTATTATTTTTTTTTTTGTCTATTCATTATGATTCTCCAAATTCCAATGGAAGATCATGGCAGGCTTTGATGCAATTGCAGCTACTGAAAGCTCATTAAATTTTTATCTAATTATCTGTTCTGTTTTTGGGTAAAATAAGATAAGATATTAAGCAAAATTTAGATCTTAGGTCAGTTATACATGAAGTATAACAAGCCTACTCAATTGAGTATTAGCTTTAGGCCATTATTACGTTTGCTGTATTCATGAGTGTTCAATTCAATATACCCGGTTGTAGAGCCAGAGAAAGCAAGTGTCATGCAGGTATTATGTTTCACAGAGCTTTTGCTGTGCAGCTCTGCTTTGCACCTATTTGCCGGATGTGGCTGGGGGTCTGCGGGTCTGCAGGTCTGTGGGTCTACGGGTCTGTGGTCTGCCGTATCGCTGACATTTATGAGAGACAACCACTTGAGAGGCAACCACCGAGCGCACCACCAAGCGCACCACCACTCGGCGGGTGCACTTAATTATGACAATTACTGCTGCTCAATTGCAGCGTCCCCAGT